CCAATGCTTAGACTGCCACTGAACGGTAGTAGGGACAAGACCTCAGAAGAAGCGGCCAGTGTGTTATTGATGAAGCAACTATCATGAGCCAATGCCAAACCTGGTATTGGCTTTACAGCCAAAGGATGTGAACAAAGATGTGCTGAGCCTGAAACCACTGGCAATCGTCACCGCTCAGGTGTCACTGCTAGCCCAAAACGGTACAAACACAGCACTGATCGTTAAGCTCTTAGAAACAGCAGACCGCGCACCCACAGCATCATTGATACGTGCCATGATCAAAACTGCCGTTGGGTGTTAATGTCATAGTTTCTTTCATGGGATTCCTGACTAAATGGATAGGCTGTTTCTTTGAAGTAAAACGCGCTTTTTGCGCACAGCAAGATCAAGAGCAAAGCAGCTCGATTTCGTAAAGCCTGCAACATCTCTATCTTTTGACAAGAAATCCATTGATCCGCAGGCCACTGACTAAAGCTGGAGTCAGCACGCTTCTCTCCGATCGGCACTGCATTTTAGGCGTCTGAAGTGCTCACTTTGCATTGTTGCTTCACCAGTCTTACATGATAAAGGAGTTCAAGTAAGCCACGCAATGACATGCCATGTGATGAGAGCCATCAGTACGTGCCTGTGCAAATGCCAGTTTGTCTCTGGTTGCGGAGATTTGAGGAAGCTCGGCTTACCCAACGTTCCACCAAAAGCGTTCCTTCTTGTGATATGCCCTCACTCTATTTGTGTCCGCCGTACCAGAAAAAACTGACAAGAAACGTGGCACGTACCAAGCGGCAGCCACAACTCAACTTGAGGCTCCATGCTCGTTGCAGGAGAGGTGCAGGAAGCCCTGCAACACCGGAGAAACAGCTGATCCTTGCCAGCAATATCCTGTGAGTTGACACATTGAATGCGTGCAAACAGTTGTTCTGCACACGTTCTCCATCCTTCCATGCCATCTCCGTCTCAATTGCGACTCTTCTGACAATCATGGTGAGGGAGTTAGTGTTGCAAATCATTGGCTTTCCTAAAACTTGATGCGGAAAGTTCACCTGCTTCTCAGCTTGAGACGTGGATCCCACCGATCATTTGCCAGATCGTTTGCACTGCTGCGCCTTTTGGGAAACCCGTTTCGGTTGGTTCTAGGCCAAAGAGCAAACCAACCGTTTTGGGCTCCCCGGAACCCGTTCGCAGGAGCTCGAGTGCCAGCGCCGGAGCTTTGCATGAACCAATGGTTGCATTGTCGGTGAGCTGTAGCTGACAAATGCAGCTGCGCGGCAGACCAACGCCTTGAGGAAAAGCCCTGTCACGCTCATCTCGATGAGGAGAGCGCAGAAAATAGAGATGGTATGACCTCAAAGGGTGTCCGGCGGTCTCCAGTTGACGCAAATACTTCATGCCCACGTCAGATTCACAGATTCACGCGTCAACGTGATGCCTGCATATTGGACCCAATGTCTCGTCAACCTGAACCAGTGCTGTCGGAGATTGAAATTAAGGCAGAAGCTCACCATCTTGAAGAAGTTCTCCCGCATCTGCAAGGTGATTGCAAGCACCCGTTTTGGCTATAAAAAGGCTGTCTGGTGGCCCTGTCTCTTGAATTGTTTTGCCAAATTTGGGGAAATAAGCCCACCTGGAAGTCTGTTGAATAGAAGGCTGCGTCGAAGCTCAGGGCATGAAACAACGATGTCAACTTAAAGGGTACCGCTGTTCTCAGACCCTACTTAGATAGTCTGATAGTCTGGACTTGCTCGGTCAGCCTCAAGTTGCAATCTACGAAATAACCTGCAAACCAATGTGCTCGCAAGGTGTTTCCAGGAAACACGCTGGGGTCGTAGCGAGCTTGTAGGTGGAGTTCGACCTTGTTGCCGAACGAATTGCACGCTCGCGCGGTCTGGCGTGGCAACTTCTCGACGTGTCCACATGCGACAGCTGTGCATCTCCAGCGGGCGGTGCTGCGCCAAGGCCAGCACAAGTAGAGCACAAGCATATCAAAGACCTGAGTCAAAATCTTCAATCGTTATGTCCCAAGCGCTGTGCTGTCAACAGAAGCCCGCGGCTCTCTCTCTCTCTCTCTCTCTCTCTCTCTTTCTATTCTCGACAAACTTGCTGTTTGGATGTGCCAATGTGCGCGAGAAATTCTCAAGCTTTTCCAAGTGCCAAACAAGGAAGCACAGCAGGAGGACCTTAGAAAGGCAGGCGCTCACCAAACACATGCCAACCTCAGTACAAAGCCCATCCATCTGTGCTGGGCCTCTCTCTGCATGCACATGCGATCCATGCCTTCCGCACAAGTTGGATGGGCACACACGCACTCCACCCCTGAACGTGTTGCCTCCGAATGCCCCACAACAAATGGGCACCGTGTGTCAATGCCTTACAATAGCAGGGTAAACGCCAACCAGCTTGACAAGTCGCAGTGAGACTGGCGCACAGCTTGAAAGGAAGCAGTCATTCGCACAGACTTGGTGCAAGGGCTGGCATTGCATCGGGAGATGCCCGGGGACCACCATTTCCTGAGGACCTCAGAGAGCCATCCGTCGGTCTGTGAATCCCAACTAAAAATCGCAGTCTTGAGCTTCTCTTCAGACATCCCGAGAAAAGGAAATAGGGACATCCATGCAGAGCGTTGTCTCAGCCCACCCGAGCGTCATGTTCGGCCCTCTGTAAGCAATGTGAGCAATGCGTGTGGCCAGAACCCAGAGATCGATCAAAGGTCCCTGGTGGACACGTGCTACACCCAAACCCCGCGCGCGGCAGTGAAATTGGGGCGACCCGAACATCTCTTCGTGTGCCAAAACGTCTTGCTTCGCAAGCCAACCACCGCCTCTGGGGACGGGGCAAATAAGAAGTGCGGTGGTGTGTGATGTGATGTGGTGTGATGTTGGAATGGTTTGGTGAACATCGTGGAATATCATGGTAGCCGAACTGAACAATGCCGGAATCTTAGGCAACGTGAGGTGAGATAAAGTGAGGAAATCCAACGTAAGGTCAATGCAATGGAATGTATGCCAGCAAAGCCAAGGCCGATGAGTGCTCGGCCAACGCTCGGCCAACGCTCGGCGGCGCTCAGGCTGCGACGCGGAGAGCTCCTTCACGGACACAGCCTGCAGACCTGGGCCCAGAAGCGCTAGACATCGGTGTTTTGCTCGAGCCACAAATGGCAATGTTGAGAATGGACTGGTTCTCCAAAACCATCTTGCGCATTGCCAGCTGAAAAGACTGTCCGAAGTGGATCTTTGTCGCTGTGGGATCCGTGCGCTCCCGGCACTTGGTGCCCGGGCTCTTTGAGGCTTCAATGTCCCGATACGCAGGCACCTGGGCCACGAGATCTGTGTGAGCGAATGAATCACAGCCCCCACGATAAATCAGGGGGTGCCTGTCGATAATCCGGGGCTGCCTATTGGACGCTGTGCCCTTTCTTTCTAGGCGATAGTCTGTCCTACTTGAACGATCTTTCAGCAGGCGGCCATCAAGTGTATGTGCATCGTCGGTGCGATGGCTTCCTACACCTGTACGCTTCAATTGCGCAAGCCACGTTTTTTTTGGGGGGGGGAGTGAAACTAGCGGGGACCATGAACGGAACCCTTGTCAAATCACGTGGACTTGTCTAGCAAGCACGGTGAAGCAGAAAAATGTTGGCTGCCATACGGCACGCAAAAGAAAGAAATACAGCTTGAAACAATTCTGAACCATCATGGGAGTATCATGTCTCACTGGGTCGCCGGCAAGCAATGCCAGGCAGAAAAAAATGCCTGCCGGGCTGTCAATCAAAAACTTATCATGCCACAAGCTGTTTCACTTAGAAGAATCAGCCACACAAATATGCCGCAACAATGTATGGCTGCAACAAAACATGTGCACGACAGAAGGGCACTTCCAGAAAAGACATGTCATCACCCGCACTCCTTTATCGCACTCACTGCTACTCCTAGTGTGGCTTTGGCTCTTCACGGTTCTATCTTGCAAAGCATCAAGCTGTTTCGCTCATGCCCTGTGCACCTGCTGTGCTGGCCTCAGTGAACGCAAATGAAGCTTCAATGCGACTGAGTCATTTCGCTCTCGAACACTTGCGCGACGGCTCCGTTTCTTGATTATGGGCTGGGACAAGATGTTCCTCCAAAGTTCTCAGTCCAGAAGCCCTTGAGAGAGGGATCTCCCTAGGCTGAAAGAACTGAAAGACCCCAGTTTCTCAGGCCACAGCCCGCTGCATCTTCCAGCATGGCTGGCCCAAGAAGGGATTTCACAGGCTTTCTTGGCTGCGGAAGTGTGGCTGCCTGCAGATTGATGTGACTTATCAACCGACCTCCGCATGCCATCAGCTGCATATGAACTCTATTCTTCCCGTTGTCGGCAACACGACTAGCAGTTGCTAAGAAGATCGTGGCAGTCCAACTCTGACCCCAGCACGCCATCGCAAAAACATCGGTCCAGAAATATCCAGTCAAAACAAACTGTTGGTGATCCATGACCTTGGCCGGCGAATGACATTTGTTTCATAAGCTTAACATAGGTTCACCACTGCAAAAAATGAGCTCTGGCTGTTTGGCTGGAGGCACTGTCTTCACAGCCTACCAGTGGTTGTCGGAACCTATGCATGGCGGGCAAGCTGCGAAAAGTGCTGAGCTGTCCCAGAGCAAGGACAAGATGCCTGCAAATGGTCCAGTCAAGTTATTCCGGGCAAAATCCAAAGCGCTTGCAAAGGCTGTGGCTCTGAAACAGCTCGCAACTGACTGGCTTTGACAAGAACGAGCTCTTCAGCCGCTCAAGATTCCGTTCGAGGGACCAATTGAATCACCTCGAGCGCGTGAACATATTCCGCATTCCTCTTCAGCAGTCCATTTACGGACAGTATGCAGGAGAGATTAAGAAACGCAAATCTGCGGCCCGCTAGAGAGGACAGCATGTCTCCAGGATTTACCAAGGAAACCATGTCGCCGCTATCGCTGTACACTTGGCTTCCAACGGCGAACAGCTCTTGGCTGAAGAGACCTTTGCGCAGTGGAACCAGCTCACTTTGACACGGCAGCCAGGGCCGCTGTGCCAAGCATGCCTTCCGACTGGCCAGCGCTTGCAGTTGCGAGATCCTGTTTGTGGCGTCGCAGCTTGCCTCCTGCTACATTCTGCTACAATGCTCTTTGCATGAGCACTACAGGCCACTACTTGCCGTCCCCTGGAGTTGCCTTCCCTTCTCGCATTCCTGCAAGAACCTCTCACTCCCAGTCACTGCACTTGCTGCGTGTGTCTGTGGCATGTGTGGCGTCTGCGGAGCCTGTGTCACCTGAGACGTCTGCTCAAAGACACTGCAAGCCCTGCCTCCAGGGATGTCCGTGGCCCCCTGCAGGCCAAAGAAGAAGGAGTTGGCCTGCAGGGTCTTGTCTGGTGTGGTCTGGTGTGGTCTGGTCTGGTCTGGCCTCGTCTCCCTCCCAAGAAATAGAAACAGCGTCATAAAACAGGACTCTACATCCAAAGCACACCTTGCCCCGGCAAACAAACAAACAGACCACAGTGGAATTGCATGGCGTGTTTTTGCACCAGGACTCATGGACCTTGTGTTCTCAGCATCTCTCACGTCTCACGTCTCAGTCTGATCCGCCTTGCCCTCCTTGAGGCAGGTCCCTGCCGTCTTCAGCTTGGCTAGCGCCACGGCGACCTGACGGACAAGGGGGCCCGGGTTTGTCGCCTACGACAAACGAGGAGAGATCCATCAACCCAAAGGCATCATATGGCTGTGGGTCAAGACCAATGGGATCCCATGTTGGGTAGGCGAATTCACCACCCAGTTTAGCCTATTTTGTGGGGATTGGGATGTTCACTGGGGGTATGGGATTTTTGACCCATGGCCATATTGGGTGGGGGCCTGACTGCGTGAATCCAAGTTGGGCCTTTGAGCCAAAAGATCCAGGAAGTTGTCTGGATTTAGGCGATGTTTCGAGCAAGACTCTCTTCAAAATGTTTAGAAGGAAGGCGTCATGCCTAGGAAGGCGCGCATGCACCCCAAGAGAAGCCAACCAATGTGTCTGGGTCAACTCTGTCAAGGCTGTCATGCTCGAAGAGGACCACGGCTTGTCGCTGATGTCGCTTGAAATCTAGCAACCACAACCTGCCGAGTTGGGAACACAACAAAACACGGCAGAAGAGACGGAACCAATATAATATATATATTATTAATTATTTAAAAAAAAAAAAAAAAAAAAAAAAAAAAAAAAAAAAAAAAAACTTCCTTGCGGCCGACCCTGCGGACACGGGCAGGCCGATGCACACGCAAGTCACCCGCACAAGAAACTGAGGCCGATCAACATGTCCGCTTCACAAGCACCTTTCAAATGAAGACAAACAATCCCTCGCGCCAAAATGCACAGAACAATGGACGCAGGGACAGAGCAGGAGAAAAATCCAGACTAGGGCAGCACACTGTCTCGGCAGCAAGCAGCCGAACAAGGAGCATGAAGCCAGCAACAAGACTGCTCGCTGGACCTGTTGATTGGTTCACATGGCTCACAGCTGAACAGTCGAGCAGCAAATCCGCCGAATTTGTGTGCCACGAGTGTGAGGGACCCCTTCTGGTCTGATAGGGATAGCAAAGGGAAAAACCACGTTTTAAGACAGACCAAAGACAGAGCCTTTGAACAGATTTTCCGCCAGCACCGAGGTCGCCCGTGATGGCATGCCCTGGCCTCTGAGTCTTGAAGCCGCTGAGCGGCCTGGGGAAGCTCAGGCCCCCCCCCCCCCGCCCGTCATTTGTCCGTTGCTCGCGGTGGCGAGCAGAAGCTAGATAGCCAGATCGCGCCAAAATGGGTTGCCTCCTTCGGCTGTGCCCGAGACACGCAGACAACTTGCGACCACCTTCCCGCCTTCAAGGAGCCCTCCGCGCGGAGCTCTTCTGCACGGGCGTCGCCCTGGCTTCACGCGAGGGACGTCAAACGGGTGTATCTGACCTTGGAACCCTTGGCCGACCCCAGCTTCGTTCACTGCCGAAAGTTTTCCAGCCACCCAGCCACCTGCCGAAACCATCAAACACCACCAAACACCACCAAACACCACCAAACACCACCAAACACCACCAAACACCACCAAACACCACCAAACACCACCAAACACCACCAAACACCACCAAACACCACCAAGCATCAAACAAAAGGCAGACCCGCTGCTTTCCAACCAATGTGCAGCTTCGAGACCCAGGTTTGGCGCACCAAGCAAATAAGCTCATCAAGCAGCTTGACACGGGAGCAATGGGAAACACCCTGACCCACGCCAACACCCTGCCTACACACCAAGCAAGCACCACCAGTGGGCACCGCCGCACCTTGAGCACATCAAGAAGAAGAAGAAGAAGAAGAAACACAATCACCCCAAATAACACCCTGACCAACAAGCGTCGCCAAACAAGCGCTGCCAGCAACCCTTGCACCACCTTTGCTCCAAACAGCGCCCTCACCAGCACCCGCAACAGCACCCTGCCTGCATCGCAAAACAGGCACCACAGCACATGAGCGCACCCCAAGCAACGCCCTGAACAGCACCTGCAGCACCAACACTGGTCCGAACTCGAAAAACACCCTGCTCCTCTTTAGCAGTAAGAAACCCTGGCGAATAAGAACCCGTATAGAAAAAGCTAACTTTAAGCACACAAACAGTACCCTGACAGCACCACTGACCAGCACCCAGCACCCCGACTGCAGCGCCATAGAAAAGCGTCAGAACCCTGACCAGCACCCCACGCTGACAGTCACCACCAGCACCATAAAGAGAAACACCAGCACCCAAAGCACACAAACCACCCTGACCAGCACCATGACATCACCAGCACCCTGACAACACCCAAAACAGCACCCCGACCAGCACTTTGCTGCAGCGCCAAACAAGCAACTTCAACACGCGCGATTTCCGCCGAGGGTTCGCCGAGACCAAGACACATTCGATCTCCACAGAGGGTCCACCTCGCTCACGACACATTCGCGCAGCGCCACAGCGAGAGCGCTTCGAAGCGTACGATCTCCGCAGGGGGGCGCGTTTCAATAGCTCCTGCCCGGCCTAGAAGAAGAATGAAGACTCGAGAATCGAGAAGAGAAGGTGCAAAAGACAAGTTAGCTTGTGCTTGTAGGGTTGCCATGTAACACCCGAAAAGTTGGCGAGAGAAGTTGGCATGTGACGGAAATCTGGACAAGTTGGCAGGAGACTTTGGCAGGTGAAGCAGGAGAAGCTGGCTGGTGAAGACACTCTCGTAGAGTTGGCAAAGAAGTTGGCAGGTGAAGAAACCTTGGAAAGTTGGTAGGAGAAGTTTGCCGCCGTTTGTAGAAGAACCCTTCCAACGCTTCGGGAAAAGTCAACTAAAAACAGACACACCCCACTTGAGTGGCCGTTGGTTGACGCTCCTGCCTCTGCCCTGATCCTGGCTGCCTCCGCCTCTGCCTTCGCCTGGCAAAAGAAGCTCACCATCTGAGGAGTTGAATTCCAGTTGGCAGGACCCAACTCGTGGGGATGTTGAAGTTCAACAGTTCGACCATCTGGCTGGTCGAAACTAGGTACCCAAAATGGAGTCCGGGTAAATGGAACGACTGATGATTTTAATGCCTGGACATGTCCCATGGACCTGCGCCACTTCCACTTCGCCCAGGAGCCATCGGACTCCACTCTTTAGGGAGCACTTAAGGAAGAGATCTGATCGAATCCAGCAGGTTCTGCTACCTGCCCAAGAGCGAACACAACACCAGACCTCACAGGCCGACACGGGGGAAGGCAAATTGCTTTGAGGCCTAGATCTAACTCTGCTACCTGCGATCGCTTGCCACTGCCTAGCTATTGATGTCCCACGCACTGCGGAGCCCTGGCCCTGAGTAACTCAGATGCAATGAACTGCAGCTCATGCAAAATCAACATCCTAGCCCACCGCAATCGGAACTGAACTCGATCGCTAGAACTCACGCCTACCCGCCGCTATCGGGGCCTTCAGCAGCAAGGCCTGAGCTTCACCTGGCCGTGCTTGGTAGCCGGAAGAGCCTTCTGAGGAGTCGTCCTAGCAAAAGAAGCGCTCAAACGCAAAACAACGGCTGGAGCAAATAAAAAGGAAAAACCTCTCTGTTGGAAAAAGAACTTGATCAGTGTCTACGTGGATACAAAGCTCGAACTCTGCTATGGCGACTCTCATCGCGAGAAAGCACCCAGCTCCAACGTTGTGACTTAGCTGATCTGCTTTTTCTTCTAGGGTATTGTCCCTTTGGCAATTTGCAATTTGACCAGAAAGAAATCGCACCAAGTTGTTGTCCTTCCCTGTCAACAAAGCGCCCAAATGACTGCTAAGCCGCGAATAAAACGTTCTTTGGGGGAAGTCCCTTTAAGAAGTATCTTCTTGACAGGGGAATCTCCCACATTTGTAGTCAGGGTGAACATTGCTTGGCAATGCCTTTGACGCTCTCACGGTTCATTTCTCTCTCCCATGGTGAAGCAGCCATAAGATTGAGCAGTTTCGTCGCCTCTGGCTGCAGTCTCGGTCTGCTCTGCCGCAACAGTTGCAACTGCCTGTGGCACAAGCTGAAGGATGTAAGCAACCAATGCAAAGCAAAAGAAAACACAAGCAAGGAGGCCCTTATTAAAGGTCAATCCTATTGTTGTGTCCATGTCTGTTGCATTCATACATGATATTGTGCTTGGATGCACGCGTTCGATGCGCCCAAACGCTGGTCTGTTGCCAATTGTGGAGGAAAACCGGTGAAAGCTCGGTAGGCTCTTTGAACCACTGCCAGAAACAACCTCCAAACTCCCGAGACATCTGCCAAATGCTATGCTTGGGACCAGCCCATAGAAAGGCCCTTACCCTATCAAAAACCGAAACGAGACAAATGCAAGAAACAAGTAAAGAATGCCAAGAATGCCCAGTCTTCAGTTGCACCCGCATACAAAAAAATCTGGCCCTTGGCGCAAAGCCTAGGACGTGTTTTCAGAGGGCTTGACAATCAGCTCAACTGCTTGCCAGCCCTTCGAGCAGGAGGACTGGGGAGGCACAACCTCCAGCGCTGGCGGTAGGCTCAGCATACGGGTCCTCCCGTTGGATGCTGCCACTAGTCAAACTCAAGCATGCTTAGCAGTTGAACAAGATATCCGGGAAAGCACTCCACAACTATTTCAAACTCAGCTAACGAACGACCAACGCCTGCTCTTTGTTCCAGCCATTCGCCAAGATGCTCCCTGGCTCAGGGCGTCCAAAAGGCCACGGTCCGAAGGGGAGGCCGAGATCAAGTTGATGGACCTGAAAAGGCCCGCGTCACAGCTGTGAATTCTTGAACTGTGAAAAGGAACTGAAGAGGCATTTGCAGTCAGCTCGGCGATTCTTTCAGAACCTCTGAGCTTCTTGCTCGTAAGCTGGGAAATGTGTGTTGCACGAGAGTCGGAACAATGCCAAGCAACAGCCATTCAGGTGCCGAACAAACTGCCAGAAGGCCACATAGGAAATGCGTAACGCATGTATCATAAGAATAGCCACTGCTTGTACTGCCACCAACTTGGAATTAAAAGGTCTGTCGAGAGCTAGCATGTCCGGAAATCTTGGTGCAGTCACATGTTAGTTGATTCGAGATTGATGCCCCTCGATGGTTGTGCCGTACTCGCACAACACCAAACTGCTGGGGCTCTGCTTGTTGCTTCGGTTCTGTGTCTTCTGCTGACAGTGGGGCTGACCCGCATGCAGTCTGATCAGTCCTCGAAGAGTGCCCTGAAAAACATCCTTGACCACATTTTTTAGGTCGGGTCCCTTTCTCCACATGCACCAGTGCACCTGCGTACACAACCTACATGGGCACAACTAGTGGAAGGCATTCATAGCTGGGGCTGGGGTGCCGGCAGAATCTTCACGCCATATTGTTGGCCTTCAGACGAGTGACGAGTGAGCAAGTGAGGTGATGAATCATCACAACTGGGCTCTTTCAATTCTACTTCTTCCACTCTCCAGCTTGGATTGTTTTGCCTTGCATTTCCCACAATTGCTTTGCCAAAAAATAAGAGAGCTGCAAACAAGGCGGGGGGTCAAGTGTAAACGGCTCAGTGTCTCAGACCCCCGCAGATGCTGTTGGCGTGCTCCGCTGAGCCAGCTAGGCGTTCTGGATCAAAAAGAGCCCTGCGTCACACTTGGGACTGGCACCGACCTACTGGACCTTTCTTAACCTATCTTGCTTGCACTTCCACAAAGCCCCACCTCCGGCCCTCGTTCTCGGTCTTGTCAATCGCGACGCCCGCCTTGCAGACTGCTCAGTGCTGCGACGCTTGCAGCACTTGCAGCAGCACTTGCAGCAGCAGCAGCAGCAGCAGCAGCAGCAGCAGCAGCAGCAGCAGAGCAGCAGCAGCAGCAGCAGCAGCAGCAGCAGCAGCAGCGGCACCAGCAACTTACAACCAACGCCTCTTTGATGTTGACGCATAGCTGTTTCACAAACATGCACTCAAAGCAATGAATACTGTCTACCAGCGTGGCATGATTCTTTCAAAACGGGAGCACCATTGACGCCATTGTTCCAGTTGGTAAATGGTGCACGGGTAGGTTGTGCTTACGATCGCTGTGCAATGCAGTTTGGCCACTCGCCAGCATCACAAAAAGCGGCTTCATCTCATGGTTCTGCGGCAGTCCGCAACTAGGACTGGAATACAGTTGACTCCAGCAGCATCTTTGCTTTCAGTAACGCTGCTTCCCATACCAACCTTTCTCAAGACACAGGGCCAAACCCATGAAATTGCATTCGTCGTCCCCGGGATGGCCCATCTCCCACAAGATCGCCAGGGACAGGGACGGCAGCTGAGCAATTGGCCGACCGAACAACCAGCCGACCGGCATCGATCCATCCGAAAAACAAGCAAGTAGGCAAGCAAGGAAAGCAAACAAGCAAACAAAGAGAAACCAGCAGGAAAACCCCTCCTCTTCAAAACAGAATGCAAACGGGCGACCTGATTCGGGGGTGGAGTCCCTTCTACCCTCAACAGGAATCAAAGTCTTGAACGAACCCAGTTCTCGGCACGCACCTCTCGCCTCACGCTTCTTCTCCTGCTCACTTCTAGCCATCATGGCCTGACGGTGTCAAAGAACCGGTGGCTGGGCAGGTGAGACACGGTCCAGCCACAACTTCTAAGTCTGGTTCAGCACGCTCCAAAGGTTTTTAGGGTTTTAGAAGCTGGGACACGGTCCGACCTAAAAAAATGGGCCCGGAGTCCGTCAAGTCCGAGGCCTCATGGCCGTGAGCAGAGTAGCTCACAGATCCGATGAAGGCAGCCAGTGAAGCAGTGACCTGGCAAGAATGTTGCACCTTTTGAGTCGGATGGCTCGAAATTGGAACTCTTGTGCTTGGCTTTCACCACATACTTGTGGGGGTGCAGGTTTGAGACGCAACCTTCAACCTTCCATACATAGCTTGGGCCATGCGTCGCAGCAGAAAGGAACAAGGTGAAAGAAAGAAGAAGGTAGCAGAAGGGGCACAAGCGCAACAGCGAAAACGGGGATGTGCACGACAAGAGCAACATATGCATGCTAGCAATGTATGATTGCTGCAATGGCCCGCATCCACAAAATGACCCTACCTTCTAAACGTTTGGGATGGTTTTACAAGGAAAGCAACTGAAAACCAAAGGAAGCCAACCATTTTTGAGAAAAGAAAAAAAAGAAGAAAACAAATATCCTACAAAGACGCGTGCCTGCCGCAGCACATCTTGCCGCAGCTTGCTAATGTCAAACCTCAGTGCATTGAGTTGGGCTATTGAGAATGGACAAGCGCTTGTGCGACACTTTGAAGGATTGTGCTAGGGCTATGTCTGATCCCAGTCTCAATGGAAAAAGCAGCCAGCTTCTTCAAACACTGAGCAGTCAGTCCAACGGCTGCAAGAAGCTATTTGCGAGACCAGCCCCAGAAACACGATCGGGTTTACGATTGCAAGAAAGCTCTAGTCAATGTTTGACATCATTGTCTCCTTGTGGAGCCACTCCTTTTGGTGTGTGATACAATGAAATCATGGGCAAGTCTATTGTTCTGAAATTTGGGGGAGCCAAGGCGCAAAATAGTAGTTGATCCTGCAAACAGCACACATTCAAATATAGACATACACATATACATATTGCTGGAGTCAGTCTGTTGATTGATCATTGTGCTGGACACCAACTCTGCTTCCTCACTGGGAAACTGCCACCGCACAAGAAAACAGCCCAAAGCAGCGTTCTGCCAAGAAGCTCCCCAGTCAGCGTCACTCCAGGTTGGTTGCGCTGGGTGTCTGCCTCCAATGATTTGCAACTGCAACTTTTCAAGAAGTGTGGTGTTGTTTTTGGGGGCGGGGTCCTTGTTGTTTTGTGTTTTCGTTTTTTTAACCCTGTCAGAACAGAATGGGCTGGCCCATGCTGCTTGTGCTGTCGTCCTGTTTGCTCAAACGTAAACGCCCGTTCAGTTTGGTGCCTTTGTTTCGGGGGGGGGGGGAAAAAATGGAGAAAGTAGGGGGCCTGGGGGGTGGTCTGTTGATGGTCCCCTGTTATGTTTTTTATATTCATCTCAAACCTATTAACCACCTTATTCGTTTTTAAAAGAGGGTTTTTAGGGAGCTTATTTATCGTTTTCGTTAAGGTAATCATTTTGGTAATTGCCCCCCTTGTTCATTGTTGGGCTGGGGGCCGACATTTTTTTCATTTGAAAGAGTTGACCCCTTTAGTAGTTATCAATTTGTGGGGTGTTGGTGGTGCATTTGTTTTGTTAGTGTTTTTCTCACGAATTTTCATTTATAGGTTAAAAGTTCAGTATAATTATAACATATAAGATTTTACATGTTATTATTATATTATGATTATAATTTCAGTTCAGGATAATAATTTAATTGATTTGTCTTACTTCTTTCATACATCATTTTAAAAATAATATTAATATCTCTCAATGTATTTGAACATTAAACTTTTTACTTTCAATAAATAATTTGATATTTTCTTTAACATCTTCTCCTTTCTCTTGACTATAACCCAACATCCATAATATATCATAAATCATGTCATATTTTTCTTACTGATTTTAAGAAACTGTTTAACATAATCGTAAGGTGGTATTTTATTTACAGTTAGAAATATTAAAATATCATCTTCTACATTTCTATTATGTCTTCCTTTTATTCCCAACAGACATTTGATTAAAAATTGATTATCTCTCCATTCCTGACAATTTTCACATTCGTCTTTTTCATCCATTGAATAATTAATAATATTATTCACTATTTCATTAGGCAAATTCAATTTATACAATTCCATATTTTCTTTTTTGAAGTGACAACAATCATAGCATTTTTTATCGATATAATTATTGATTCCATCACCGTTCATTTTTCTCTTAATATATAAGGTAATATTTCTTTAAGTAGTTTTGGCTAGGGGGTTGCTGGTCGGCTGGTCTGGGTTTCAGGTTTAATTTAAATGTCTTAACCTTCTTGATAGATTATAAAACAATGTTTAATCATATTATAATTAAATATTATGAATAAACAAACATCATATTTCATAATTATTAATTGTATGGATTTCAAATTTGATAAAGTCTATCATCACAAGTGGTCTGTTGACTAATCTTATTGTACCCTTTATTTCTTTCACCATCTTTTCTATTGTGATTAGGAGTTCTTCTTTACTTTTCAAGGTATATTGATTGGATGGCATATTACATTTTCCAATAACTGAATCATAATTAAGTGTTACTCTAACATGCATTTTAATCTTTATTTCATCGCTATATCTTATTAGGCTCATAAACTTTTCTGATGGGTTAAACGCGTAAGAAAACGCCTTATCGCCTTTTAACTTTTTGTTGTGTATCTCATGGTTATATGTTGTAATTGACTTTTCTGGAGTTTTACGTCGGCTGACTACATCATTACTAATAGAAGGTTTCCATGTCCTTTGTAATTCTCTTAAAGCATCACATTGTTTCAGTCTTCGCCACCCTTCACTACCATTAATGCAAGTAGTGATGATTGAAACTAAACCGTCAGGTAAGCTAGCATAATTCTCAACCATAAAATTATTCTCTGACATTTTACCCTCACTCATTTTTCTCTTTATATATAAGGTTTTTTCTCTTTAAGTAGTTTTGGCTAGGGGTTGCTGGTCGGCTGGTCTGGGTTTCAGGTTTAATTTGAATGTCTTAACCTTGTTGATAGATTATAAAAACTAGGTTTAATCATATTATAATTGAATAATATCATTAAACTAAATCACTCACGCTTTCCATCCACCTATTCCATCCCACCAGAATTCAATAATTCGCATCTGACCATCTACTAGACTGTCTTCTGTGTTTAGTTTCCGTATCGCTCCTGATAAGATATAGTGATTAATAATCATAGCATTAAACTGTCCATCTCGGTTTAACTTTTTACCACAGTCTTTTATGATGTCTTCATCTGTTAGGTTTTCATAAATTTCTTTCATGATGTCAAACCTAACAAATGAGTATATCGTCATCAAGTTTAATCCGCTATTATCCCTAAACCTGCTAATGACATCTTTCCAGAATTCTTCGTTTTCATCAACTGGTGGCAAAGGGTGTCTTTTGATGAAATCCTTTATTTTGTTTAACTCTTCATCTAATTCCTTTTTATAACTGTCATTATCATCATCTTCTTCGTCTGATAGCACCAAGTTTGATAAGTCAGCAATCACTCCGACATTTTCTAAATTCAAGTCCTCTAGTCTTATTTCAGTCATATTTTCACTTAATATAATAAGTTAATATTTCTTTAAGTAGTTTTTATTTTATGTTAAGGGGCGGGGTTTATGTTGATAATTTTTTTCTAACAATTTAATATAATGGCGAGATTAACAAAAGACCAAATAATCAGCAACATCTATTACGACTTAGACGAGGGTTTCGGAAGCACACAAGCGACACACAAGAAGGCAAAGGAAGAAGACCCAACAATAACATTAGACGATGTAAAGTCTTTCTTAAAGAAACAGCCAAATAAACAAATCAAAAATTATAGAGGAACTAATTCCTATACCGCTCCATTCGCACGATATGAATATCAAATAGACATAATGCATATGTCTCCTTTAGCAAAAGACAAGAACGTTCCACAGTATGCTTTAGTCGTGATTGACATCTTCAGTAAATTAGCAGATGTAATACCGATGGAGGAAAGAGACGGAGAGCACGTTTTGAAGGCGTTGAGAGCAAGCTTTAAAAAGATGGGTTATCCGATGTCCGTGTATTCTGATGACGACGGAGCGTTTGCAACTAAAAATCAAGTTCAGGATTTCTTCAACAGTGAAGGAATAAACCACATCGTCACGAAGACCCACGCAAATGTGGCCGAGCGTTTTATTAGAACGATGAAAAACAAAATTCACGATAGAGTTAGGTTTAACAACATGAAATGGACCGATGCCCTAACGCAAGCATTGAAACAGTATAACAGCACATCTCACTCATCAACAAGGATGGCACCGTCTGAAGCACACAAGGACGACAATGAAATAAATGTAAAGGTCAATCTTAAACTACGAGAAAAAAACAAAAGAAAGTATCCCAAAATAGAGGAGAACGACAAGGTAAAAGTGTTCCAAAAGAAAAGGGGTAATTACACCGACAGAAAGGAGTATAACTCTAAATGGTCTAATAAAATATTCAATATTGATAAAATTGAATATGATATTATGGGCAATAAAACTTACAAAGTAGCAGGAATAAACAAACCGCTTTTGAGACACGAAATTTTGTTAGTTAATGATTAAACGTATTTCTTGGTATCTTCTTTATACTTGACTTGATAGTAATCCAGACTTGATTGTTTAGGTTCTTTTATGATTTTTCATTCAGTTTTTTAACATAAATGTTTCGTTTATTTTTGTATTCGCTACTGTCTCTATCTACTTCTTTTGCTTGATAATTGTTATTGTTATCATATGTAGGTTTAATATTCAAGCTCTTTAAGATTTTCAGTATGTTTTCATTTTGCTCCAACACTTTTTCTAATCTTGGAAACAACAACTCTAAACTACTGTCAATGTTCGCTAAATGTTCCTCCATATATACTAAATTATAAAACTAAACTTTTAAAACTAAATGTTGCAATTATGTTAAATCTACTCTTTAAATACTAATTTTTCATTATTTGTTTAACAGTTTCCTGAGTTTCCTTATCACCATTATCTGATGGAGTAACTCCCCTCCCAAATCGTATAGCAATATTATGAACATCTGTTTCTAAGTTTATACTGTCTTTAGTTTTATCAATATTCATTTTCTTATCATTTCTACTTATTTTGAAACTTGTCGGAATACACGAACATTTACAGTTTCCTTTCTTTTGTATTTCTAATTCATTTTTCATTTCTAATATTTTTTTACACATTGGACAAGCAAACTCAATAACTGATGTTTCTTTAACAACTTCTTCTTTTTCTTCATCAGTTGAAGAAACAACTGATTCTGTCTTATTCTTTTTCTTTCTCCCCATCTATATTAATATTTATATTTTTAATATATTGTATCACAAACTTAATTAATTCTAAAACAAAATAGCATACTTTCTTAAATCTATTATCAGTTATAACAACATCTTCTATATGTTGTACTTCATTTATTATATCAATATAATCTGTATAACTCCTTTTCATATTAAATACTAAGATAATTTTTCCATTTCTGTCTTTCTTTTCTTATAAAGTTTTTTCATTGTATCGTCTTTATTCCATCTATATTCCACAACTTTCTGATGATGTTTTGAATTTAGATGTTTAAATAAATATTTGTCATCATAAGTTTTACCACAACTGCAATGGTTAATGACCATATAAATAATAAATATAAAATATTTTCTAAATAACTTTAATATTATTTTATTATGTCTGATGTTCCAATAATAAAACCAATAAATATAACTGATTACGATTTCAAACAATCTAAATATGAACATGTACCAAAACTACCTTTTCGCTCAATTGTTGTTGCTTCATCAACGGGTGGCAAAACAGTTTTAATTCAAAACCTTATCCTAAATGTTTATAGGGACTGCTTCGCCCGTATATTCATTTTTAGCCCGTCGGTTCATAATGACCCTACCTTCGTTGAAGTCAAGAAATATCAAAAAGATAATATGAAGGTTGATGATGAAAAAG